GGGCACACGCACCCCGCTGTCTGCAGAGAAAACCCCAACCAGGCGTTTCCAAGACCAGATACTGAGTGCGCTAACCCCGAACAGCGCAGTTCAGTTCCGCCTTGGGGTTGGCCAAACGAGCCTCGCTTCCCTGGTTGCAGGCACCAAGGGTTTGGCTCTGCGAAACACGCTGAACCTGCAGCTGCACCAAGGTCCCTGCACACGGGGAAGTGCAGAAGACAGCGCTTCCTGCGGACTACCCGAGCCTGCCTTGCCTTGTGAGCATGCCCAGTGCTCCGCAGGAACCCCAGATCGTGCCTTCCAGGGTTAGGAACACAGAGACCACGGCTTCCTGAGGGAAGGCAGAGGTTGATTCCAGAACCTGCAGCCCCCTGCTGACCTGCCTCACGGAGATTACTCAGTGGCCCAGAAGCTGCCCCGGCAGGTGCGGTACTGGGGAAGCTAGGCTTCCAGACCTCAGAGAGGATCTGCTTTTCTTCTTTCTCTAAAGGGGATTCCAAAGGAAGCAATTCCCTGCCCAGGAAAGGCTGGTTCAGTTACAGGGTAATTGACAAAAAATCCAGCAGGGCTTGGCGGTGGTAATAGTAACAGCTAATAGTTATTGCTGACTTACCCTGGGCAGGCTCTGCGCTGTATGATGCCCATGCATTATCTGATTTTAACCTGTCTAAACACTATATGATCAACCCTAGAAGGAAACTGAGGCCCCCAAATATTTTGCCAACTGCCTGTCAATTACAATCAATGCATCTGGGAATCCAGATCTGGCCATCTGACTCTCAGATGGCACCGGAGACAAAGTGCAGAGCGCTAATGAACTTGAGGCTTTTCCAGCAAGGGGATGCTGGGGTGGATGTTTGGCTGATACCCTCTGGCCTTTAAGCTGTACCTGGCCTGTCTTCAGCAACCTACAAATCTTTGAAAAACTGCATACCTGAAATTTGCCAGTGTTGTAATACTAATTACTATTGATAATACTCATGTCTTGACTAGAACTTTGTATCATCGTTTTATTAGGTGCTGCATACTTACCATTCTAATCTTTCAAACAACCCTGTAAAGAAGCTATCCTTGTTCCCATTCTACACATGAGGACGACTGAAACAGAGATGTCCTGTGACTTCCCCAAGGGGACAGAGCCAGGATAAGAGAGCAGAGTTTGTTTGACTCCAAAGTGTGTGCCGTTTTTACTAAACTATGTGTCTTTCTTAATTGCATCCTTAATAAAGACATGGGATGAGGGCACGGCAGTTATTATTTTTTTTTATTTCATTCAACAGCACATATCAATTTCCTATTAACATTCACTCATGTGATACATATTTACTAAGCATTTACTTAGTGCTTCTAGGTACCATCTCTGAGGTGACAGAAGGTGACAAAGATGCCATCCCTGTACTGAGTACATAGTCTATTAAGAAGATGCCAATCATATGCTTATGATGCGGATGGTAAGAGCCTACTAGGAATGTGTTTCCCTCACCTATTCATCTAGCACACTCCTATTTGACCTTTAGCTGTCTATACCAGTCGCTTCTTCAGGGAAGCCATCTACGATGTCTCTGGCTGAATGAAATACCCTTTGTACAGGCTTTGAAGGCATTGTTACTTTTCTTTGTAAAATGTGTTGTAGTTTCAATTTTCCATTTGTGCCATGATTTAGCTAGTGTATGTCTCGCCAAAGCAACAACCTCTAGAAGACTGTAAGCTCCAAGGGGACAGGGATGTGTTTATTTTCATTTTCCAGTAATCTCCTAG